CTAGATAATATTGTAAAGTGGTATAAAATATTTGAAAAAAAAAGGTTTTAAAAACTTAACTTGTTTTTTAAGTGTATGATTACAGAAAGTATTATAGTATTGTCATATAATATGTATAGTAGGTACTAGGTAGATACATCAAATTTTCTAAATGTTAAACTTTGAAAGTAATAATTAGTCAATTTTAAAATTGTGAATAAATTATGTATATCTAATAAAACTGTTAAAATAATCACTTTGAATAGATACCTAAAGAGCGAAAACTTTTATTTTATGTTCTTTCAAGTTACAATACATATCTATAAGAATATCATATTTTCTCAGAATATGACTTTATACATTAGTCTTAGATATACTCACCAATGCCTATCTTGCAAGAAAATAGTAAGTACCTACTAATCTATATAATGGATACCAGTTTTAATACAAGTGGATAGTTATATTATACGTGTATAAATTATTTCTATACATATTTATTCAGGTTTCATAGAAGTGCCATACTACGCGCCTATTTAAAAACAATTGCTTTTGCTTTAAAAAATATCTACTTTAATACAAATTTGGTTTCTTCTTTTTGATCAATGTTCAAGACGAGTAGGTAAGTCCAGTTTCTTATACCTCGGCACTTTACTCCGACCACACGCGACTACTACAATAGAACAATAATAATTATTGGATAAGGATAAGGATTAACAACAAATCACAACTATTGGTAGGTACATTAGAAATTTTAAAATTAAAGAAACTCAATTAAAATAAATAATGATAATAATAAATAATAATAATACGTTAATAAGTATATATTATATTGTATTAAATGAAACACACAAATTTTTTTTTCAGTAGTAGGTACCTATAGTATTGTAATGTATAATAATGTATAATAATGTTCTTTAATTAAATAAGATTATAATATATAGGTTTAAGGCTAATATTTTAAATGCTTAAGTTAAAAATTAATTTTTGAATAAAATTATTTATTAATATTAATGTATCTTGCATTTGTACATTAGATACTTGTTACTCTATAACTCCGTAAACATATATCTTGATATAATATTATAGTCAAAAGCAGTACATGGAAATCGCCACCTAGGCTGATGTTAATTTCATGTATTGTAATCGATATTTTGTGTGTTTGAATAATGATAATTTTATTCAAATGAGCACAAGCAATTTTAAATGCGAGTTAATTTTTTTGCAAAATATATCGAAGTTAAAATTTTAGAATCCAAATTAAAAACCATTTCAAGAATTGGAGGTTAATTTAAACTTAAATTTTGATAATCTTCACTAAATAATTGGGTCAATTATGCCAGTTTTCTTAATCCCAGTTCGTCCATGTCTATAGAGTATATAGGCAACAATAACTTTACGACTCAACAAATGCTTACAAATTCACATTAAAAATCTAAATGCAAGATACACGTTACTTATTACTAATAGAGATATCTCAGTTACTGATCAATAATTATCAGAACTGCTCACACAGATAAAACACAAAAAAGATACAATTTATCTTAATTTTTACAATCTATTACATAATATATATATATTATATATATTAGTTATACAAATAAGTGTTAAAGAAGAGTGAACGAGTCAAATTCCTAAGTACCAAAAACATGATTAAATTAAAATCATTTCGTTCAAATATCAACGATAATTTTAAGTGCATAATCTTAAAATGAATACCTATTTATAGCATAAATTATAAATAGGAATTTGTTACATGTACTTTGAAAGTTGTTTAATTTGCATGTGTTTCAAATTTACAAATAACAAAATTGTCGAAATTGTATTCTCAAAAATACAACCAAAATAAAAGTTTCAGATAAATAAATTTATATTTATCAGAATCTCTACCATTTTTCATATCCTAAGAAGGATTTTTATTCTCCCATAAATATGCAAGAATGTAAAACACATACGCGAGTACACAATATCTAACCATAAACAACTTATGAAAGCTTATTAAAAAAATCAATGTAGCGCCTATAACGCATATACCAGTTATCAGCTAAATGTAATTATAGATAAAACAGATACTAATCTCACATGAAACTTAAAATGTTTTGGCACTTAACAAAGTCGACACTTTCACTCTTGAAGTAAAATTTTAATGAAAAAAAGGCATTATTTAGATCGTCCATCGTAACATTATAAAGGCATAAGTAGGTATATATAATAATAGTATTAAGTATAATAACTACAAAAGTACGTTTTATATTGTAACAATAAATTTTAAAAATAATTATTTTTAACACATATTTGTGAATGATAATTATTTTTACACACATTCATATCAGAAGATAAAATACTCAGTATATATAGTAAACAATATGTCATGCAAAATTTTAAATAAATCGAATAAAATCATTCAAATTCAAAGCGAAACGAAAAATATATTGTTTTAAAAATAAATTACAGATAGCTACAGATAACAAGCTTTTTATTTTTCAATTAATATTTTCAAAATATATTATGATATTATTGTTACTAACTGTATGTTTAATGATTAACATTTATTATTATGAATTTGTTTTGTTATTTGAATTTAAAAAGTTATAATAATAAAAATGTTGGTTTATATGTCACTAGAAAATTTTAAGATAGCGTTTGTGTTTATTTTATTATTTGAAAAATGAATTATTATCAAGTATTCAAATAGTACCTGAAGTATTTAAAGAGATGTTCAGTGAGAAAAAAAATCAATTAAAGTAAGTACCATAATTTATCGAAGATCAAGATTAAAGGCAACAGTGTAAACATGAAGACATTTTTGTTACACTTTTTTAACCAGTTTAATAATATATAATAAATATAGTAAATTCTAAATAATTTTTTTGTACGTTAATTATATGAAATAAAAATATTTATCAGAAACAAACAATCTGTAAATAAATTAAACAACAATAAGTATGTGTGCTAAACAAAAAGAATATTATATGATACGGGCATGAATAAAAAAATCAGGAATTTAATGGTAATAATTAATAAAATACTTGGATTGAGTTGATGTATCGTTGTATTTAATAATTTTTTAATTAAGATTTGAAATTCTACATAATATTATTTTCAGCCTGCGGGTAGGATTTGTCAGAAAAGGAAAATGGCGCACCTAACTGCGTCAAAACTAATTTAAAATTTTAAAACAAACGAAATCATTACGGTTAAATCAAATAATAAGAAATAGCCGAATATGTGTAATATTATTAGTGATGTGCAAATTAAATGAGAGTACCTAAATGAAAAAAATCACTAATGGGACAAAAAAAATATCTTAAATGGATAATATAAACCATTAGAAATATATTGATATATTGTAGTTCTGTCAAAATATCAATAAACGTAAATATTGTTGATTTTTACTTGAATATTTTGTACAAATGTAGGATTTAAATATTAAGTGGGTATACGATATTCACAAAACAGTTATGTCCAAAATGATCATGGCGTCGAACTAAAGTACGTCATGCAGTTATTTAAAATTTCAATAAGCGCTAAAAAAACAAAAATAATCTAGATAATAACATAACACAATATATTTCGTGACCATCATATTGAGTTTAAGTTATAAACACCAAATTGATCCAAAATGAAGTTGTATGATAAGTATGCCATGCTGTTTTGTAGTTTATGTGTACATTTTTTTTAGACGTGTAATTCACGAGTTTAAAAACAATTGAAAACATCAACCTAACAGTTGTTGCTATTTGTTACATTGTCAGCCTGTTTGATATAATATCTTTAATTGACTTTAAATAATTATTGTGACGAATACTTAATGTTTGTAAAATGAAAAAAAAAAAATATGATATTTAAATGATTTAATGTCACAGAACAATTATATATTATGTGAGGTAATGAAGATTGTATAGCATTGTCATATTATTATTTTATAAGATCAACGAGAGCATTGATAACAATAAACCATGATAATAACGATAAGACGAATGAATAAACATAGGTAATATTATAATGCGTAAGCATTAAAAACGTATGTTTTAAACTTTTAAATAAATAACATGGTGGTCATATTATAAGTTATGTTTCTTAAACGAATTTGTATAATATTCTTCAACTCGATAAAATATTTTGAATAAATTAACTTTTAAATAAATGCAATTTTTGAAAAAAAAAAAAAAAAACTAGAAAGTCTGTGTAAAAATTTGAATATTTGGCACATATGTTTAACTATTTAGTAGATAGGCTACCTACCTAATTTATATATTATTTTAATTTGACTATTTCATTATACCTAATTGTGTTACATAAAAGTAATAATATTCAACCTTATAAAACAGGCTTTCAGAAATTATTTCTCATTTAATGGCCATTTTATCATAAATGTTATTAAAGTACCTATTTTGTTTGTTTTTGATATAGAAAATACTATTTTTAAGCATTTCATTGTTTAACATTAATAATATATGTTTTCGAATTTATAATTTGTTATATTTTAAATTGAATAATTGAGTATGTAAAAAATTTAAACACATGAACACAGTTCTATAGCATGACTATATCATAGTGAACAGTAAACTCAGTCAAAGTTGTCTATAAAACATTTAAATATTAATGGGTCAAATGTAATTTTTTTGAACTTAAAACTCTGATAATAACTTTGAATACATGCAAGTGCAAATCATAATTTTGTTTTAAAACAATAATTGTGCATGCAACTTATTCAAATAACTAAATAAATATAATATAATATAATTAATACGAGTAAATAATTGATGAAAAGAATACCTTTTTAAATTATAATTAAGTATTAAAATTTAGTAAATAACGTTTTATATATACCGCAAACTTATTGAATTACGTATTAAGTAAGTACCTACATACTTCTTTTAATTATTATTTAATTTTTTTTATGATTAAAACCTTATTTTAAGAAATAAGTAGTTATATAATAATATAGGATAAATATAGTAGAATACATTCTTTCTACTACAATCAAACTTAAGTTGATGCATGTAAATTTAAGGTTTCACCTATTCGTTATGTAATTTGGACAAATTTTGAATGAACTGGTTTGGCGTCAGTGGGTTTGATGAACCTATATAAAAACACAAATAATGTAGTTTAACGATCATACATTTGTCATGATAAATGTCTTTGTTTACCAATTATGAATTCCCAGTTTGTAGAGTTTTTTGATACTTCATATGCACATCTCATTTCTGAATACGAGACTCCGCCCAGCATGAACAATATGATTCTTGAACCATTATTTTCGGTTGATTTTTTTGGTTTATACCACGATGCACAGGGCAATGTATACCTTGAACTAATAGATATCAATTAGATATTTATTTGTGAGACAGTTCGGCTTTTATGCCAATTATAATGACATTATATTATATAATAATATAATAATTATTTCACATTTTATAATAGGTACTGGTTTTTTTAAATAAAAATAAAATATTGCAACTTACAAGGTCACAAGGATGATTTTTCTGACAGTAAAATGGTTTAAAATAATAGTTGATTTTGAAGCAAATTATTTTTGCATTAGGTTAATACATTTTAAAGATATGTGCAACAAAAACAAATGCAAGCTACATGACTAATAAATACAGTACGATTACTGATTATGATCTAAAAATAAAATGTTTCTACTATTTTATTTAACAAATAATAATCATTAATATAGATCATAATATTAACAAAATTTTGATCTGATAATTCCCACACATTATTAAAAATTTCGTTTATTGTTAAAATATAATTATACAAACGCATTAATAGGTAACTAAAACCTTGATAACGCATTTAGTTGTTATTTTATTTATAAAATAGTATTAAAAATATTAAACTTGTGATGATAAAATTATGATATAATTATTTTTATATTTTTTATGTAAATATTACTTCGACTCTTGTTTATAATTGAGCATTTATACCTAGACGCTGTGGGGTTTCCAGTTGAATTCTCTTTAGCACCTACAAATGGAAATTGCTTAGGATCCAACTTGTTTTCAATACAATTCTCCATTAAATCTTTGATCAGTGGCGTCCATCTAGAAACCTGGTATGTATTTTCGTCGACTCGATTTTTACGTTCAGGACGGCGGTGTTTCTTTTTGTCTTCCTGAATTATTAGTTAAATTATTAATTAATATTTTTCATTAAAAACAAAACTAACTAAAATAATCAATTATATAAATAGTGATATAGATAATTTACATCTGTAATGACGGTAACGCCAAGTTTATTCAAATTTTGAATAGTTTGTACATCAGCTGGCGAAAGTTGAGCAGTTTGAACGAATTCATTAAAAATATCTTCTGATATTCCATTATTATAAAAAATGTATAGTATAATAAGCCGCATCTTGTTTTGTAAGGACACCTCATCATTTTTTAAGAAAGAAATCAATTTAATTTTAGTATTGTAATTGATTTTTTTAAACAATGCCGTTTCATTCATAACCAGATCTTGTTCGAAATTACAGATGTCTGCTAACTGTTCTTGATAAATTTCTATGCATCTTTTCAGCACGCTTACATAATTAGAGCATTGCTCTGATTTTTTTTTTTTTCAGTGGTATTTCTTTAATAGCATTAGACAAAACACCAACTGATGAACTCGTTGCAGCAATAGATGATGCACGTAAAGATTCGACACACTTTTTCAATTTCTGTGTGACGATACTACAACAAAATAAACCATAATTATAAAATAATGTTATTGTGTTTCAAAATAAATCTTTAACTTACGTTACTGCGTCAGAAATATGATGATGTCTTAGTTTTGACCATAACTTATTAACTTGGTCTAAATATAGATTTATTTCAGCTCCGTCTTCAGTAAACCTTTCCACATGAAATAAATAAAATATGAAATCATAAAATTATAGGTATTATAAAAAATAATAAAATTTAATTAATGATTATAAGCTTACGTAAAAGTATTATTCTTTATTGTAAAATTATCATAAACCATTGCTTGGAAAGTGAGCTCGTGCAAAATTAATGAGATCCAATCAAATGATCGGTCAAGTATAATTAACTGTGAACGTAATTTTTTATAACCATCACCCATGCTTGAATTATCATGTTTCAGTATATTTAGTTTTTTCCAGTACTAGATGTGCTAATTCGGAACTGCTTGTATTGAAATCGTTTTTCATATATCGCACTAAAGGATATTCATTTAACGCATAACAAGCAGTGGAAATTCGGATTGCCAATTCCTCCAAGTGTGAAGTACGATTTATCATCAAAAATGGATCATAACAAAATTGAAATGATTCGTAGCTGTTCAACGAATAAACCTAAGGAGTACAGAAAAAATTAAAAACTATTTACAAAAACTAATAATTAGAAAAGTTTAAATAGTACCGTGTATAAATGAAACCCACCTGACTTTCAAGTGGTATGAAAGCAATGTTAAGCTCTTTGCATGATTTTATCGCTGTCTTGGAAAGTGATCGGGACATAGGTATAAAAAGTGAATCTGGACATGCTTGTATTAAAATGAAGCAAAATATTAATACTAGATTAGTCATAATTCATAATAAAACAAAAATAAATTACAATTTATTATACAAACTAGAAATAAACTACCCCCTTCCAAATTCCAACCACCATCTTACTGTACAGTGTCTTTTAATATAGTAATTTGAATTACAGACATTTACCTAACACAACCTATATACCAATAATATTAATACATTACACTAGGGTTTTATTTTAACATAACACTACAACTATAAATTATTGAGTTTAATCTAAAGCATGTAAACGTTTATATGTAAGCATTAAAGATTTTAATACAAATTGAAAAAAGTAATTAATTAACTACCGACTAAGTAATAGTTAAATAGTATAATTATAAAATAAGTATATTTTTATGAATACAAATAAATGATGAAATACGATTTAAAGTGTAACTAGTTTAGATCAAAAAAATTAAATTTAATATAAACTAGGTGTAGGTACTATATTCTAATTTTCAAATCATCCACATAATAAAAAAAATTATTAGTTAATTAATAAAATCTTAAAATTTAAATTTTCCACTAACGGCTAGATATTATAAGCAATAGATATAATAAACAACTTTAAAACATGATTTTGTATAATTTACCTTAATATATAAATATATTTATATAGTATAAATCAAATAATAAGAATTCGATTTTAATTCTCTGGTTCACTTAACCTTTTACTGCACATGCAAAAAAATCAATAATATTTTTTTAGTAGTATTTTAGTAGATATACCCTATATGGCCATAAATTATAAATAGCTAATCATAAAACCAACTTATCCATATCCCTTCAAAAGTTATTTGTAACAGAAAAATTATATTAATTAAAATTTTATATCAAATAATTTAAGTAAAAAAATATCAAAATACTTACCTTGAGTAAAGAAAATATGAGCGGCTTTATACTTTGTAATTCCGCGCACAGGAAAATCACTTATGAGAATATCAATTGACTTTTTAGTTGGTGTCAAAAAATAAATGGCATCCAGATTTATTGGCTCGCGTACTTTGAACAAATCTTCCACAACTGAAAAAAAAAACAACAAAATAAATAATTTTTAATTACTTAAATATTACGCATCTACTTGTAAATAATGTTTCTTGAATTAATTTTAAATCCTGATAATCCTACTTAATCTTACACTTGATCAGTAAAGATGTATAAACAAATTTTGATTCACCGCATACGTGAATATAACACATCAGTTATATTAATTAAAACTCCTAGCTCTGTATTTTTCCCTTTGTCTATTTTTGTATTGGTATTATCTTCATTTTCTTAATTCAAAGTAAATATTTCCCTCAGATCATTGATGTGTTTAATCATAGGTTTATTTTCAATAGAATATAGATAATATAATCTAACGGTTAACTTAAATATTTAATAACATTCTCGTATTCATAGAATGAATAAATGATTTATTCGTCAAATTTAAGTCATTCAATGTATAATGTTCAAGAAAAATTTTTTTGAGGAAGCGTTGTAAGAGTAAGTTATGAATAAATTACCAGAACTTAGTACATTCTTTAGAGAAAGAGTTCAAACGGAACTTTTAATCTATTTAACAAATACTTTGAATTATTGGTATTTTCCTGGTGTAGACACTAATTCAAAGCTAAAATCTGGGGGGAGGGGTCTCAAATAATTTTTTTATAGGTACTTTATTCATAATTTAAAATTTTTGTCATAATAGCAAGTATAGGTAATCAGTGTAATGTTTAGGGGGGGCTGGGCCCCTAGGCCCCTCGGATCCGTCCCTATCTCACAGTAGGTGTTGAATCATAGAATTTAAATGATCATACAAATGAATTAATTCATGCACGATGTACCTATTATAATATCTATTTGTGTACACCATAACTTTCTTTAATTTATAAACCTATAGATACCTATTAATTAAAAGTAATAAATTGTATTTTGTATAACATTTTAACAAGTACCTACAGTGTTTTGCTAAAATTATGCGTAAAAATTTATGTTTGTGATCTTCTATCATGTATTGGAATTGCACGTTATCTATGTTCGCCGTACATTAAAAGCATGACCAGTTGCGCGTCTAAAATAATTTCCTTCGACAGGCCGCTCACTATAGTAGGTGACGAACAGGAGTTTGGAAAACAAATCACAAAGCGATTATTTGTAGCAGACTCAAAATTGGCCGCCGTTCGGTCATGCTCTTACATGCGGTGAGTATAGTGATGAACTTTTTTTAAATAATATTTTCAAACAACTATAAATCTTACTCAAGTATAAGGTCTATGCAAGCAACTAATAAGCCAAGTGTTTACACCTTATTAATTATGGCCTTGAGTCCAACCCTATAAATTAAAATTGGATCTCCGATAAAGAGCTACCTACCATACCTAGTCAATGCAATTACTTGAGAGCGCTTTCTACCTTGACACACGTTGCTTATTATAAGTTATATAGCAATGTAATATTTTTGGTTGGTTTATAAATATGTTTAAGATTTATGATAAGGTTAACCAGAGCAACAAATCGATAAGACAGCATGGCAGATGACGGATAAACATAGCACTAAAAATACATATTATGATTATATACGTCAAAAAACTTAAAAGTAAAATTTGTTGTTGGATAATGTATCAGTATTAAATTTGAACTAATATTACGCTTTTCAATCAGTTATGTAATAAATAATAATTTATTAATTACCAATTAAAATTTAATATTTAAAAATACATAATTTTTAATTAAAATCTATATTATTATCCTACTAATTTTAGGTTTTGGATTAAATTATATTTATATTTAAATAATACTTATACTATTTATGCACGAAAATCTGTACCATATATTATTAACAAAGTGCTAACAAAACCTCCCATTATTAAAATAATTAACATTATCTACTCTTAATACTTGCACAATAGCGACATTATAAATAATTTATACATTAATTAAAGTCCTTAGCTAATATAAACATAAAGACATTATCTTATTGTTAATGTTTTATTTTACCCTAACAATCACACATATATGCAAAATACATGTACATATAATATAATATTATTTTTTATGTCATTTGAATAATACATTAACACTCACGAGCAATTCCTTCGTAGAAAACCTCGTACATTTTACAGGAATATGATAAGATCTGCATTGCATCATGGTCAAGAACTAGAACGCACCAATTTCTCTTGGTTGAATTCTTTTGCGGCTTGCAACACCAGTCGGTGACGTCTTTAATAAATACTAGATAATGTGACACGAATAATAAATTTAAATAATATTTGAGTTCAATAATACGAATTAAAATAAACAGGGCAAATACGGATGTTTTCTGAGGAGGGAAGTGAAATCTAAATTTCTTTACTATTTCATTAATATTTTTTACTGTCGTAGTATTTATAATTTAATTTATTTTACTCTTCAATACCACTAATATTATACTAAAACAATCAAATAGTTATATAAATAAAGAAATTAAATTACTTTTAAATTTTAATTAAAGAGCTTTTTTATTGCAAGGTCTGGCTTATACTATGCTAGTTTGATATTACTCCTTTTATAAATATGATGGCTTTGTAAAGTTAAACATGGAAATAAATAGAAAAAAATCTAACGGTAAATTAATTTTCATTGTGATTTTAATCTTTTAACAAATACTTTTTTATCATCCCTTAACAATTACTTATGAATTTACTTACATTTCTTGACAACCTCCTTCAGTCCCCCAATTGTTTTATTACTTCCACTCATTGTGTGTCCGTGCCGTTAAAATAAAATACAATAAAAGAGTCGATAGGTCGACACTGATTTTTATTTGTAATAGTTGGCGATTGAGATGAAACGAAGAGTGTGCAACAATGCCGTGTCTCGAAATGACTACGGGCCGGTGACAATTAATAGTGGTAGTGTTGGCCTCAGGCTCAGAGCGCCCCAGCGGTGGGCGATGATATTAAGCTACCGTTGCTATAGGAAACTCGGTGCTTAGATGAGACGCATAATCGATTAGTCTCATATCGCCG